CACGACACGCTGCTGTGAGCAAGTAAGACATGTTTCTGCTGTACAATATAGCGTACATGAATTACCCATAGCAGATCTATACAGGTGAAGCTGGGGAAGGTGGAGGGTTTCTGAAGCGCGCTGCACTGTGCTAAGGCAAATGCTACCCAAGTATTTGAAGGTTGAGCAGCGAGCTCATTGGCTACTGATACGCCAGGAACCAATCAGCTGCGCCCTATAGATAACGATGTGATTATGAACAGGTGAGTAAAAGGACCTATTAACCTGCACCATCTAGAGATTCATGCCAGAACTTTGTATATATACATAAAAAAGTCAAATCATTTTATATCTTTATCTACCTTTCTTGAGTGCTTTGTAATTGGACTGGAAAGGATTATTCGGTTTGTGGTTCTGATGAGACACAACTGAAGAATTAACTATGTGATCCACCTCAGACTAAATCTCACAGTCAAGATTTGTAATGTCTGCCGGTTTGGAGAAACAATTAGATTATATAACAGGCAAACAAATTCAAGTAAGCTGCTTTAAATTGTGATGCATGCAGCAATGTCTAGTATTTATTTAAATTGGTAACATCACTAAAATGTTTGACACTCCATCATATATACAGGCTTTATACAGTTGCCTTTGACTTGTTCGACTCGATACAACTTGTAAATAGATGCTGTCAAACTAGGATGTGCTAACAGGCTAATATTGTTCAGCTGCCTGTCTGAAAGCACGCTGGCATTAGAGAAACTCTTATCCTGCACCAGTGCCGCTTTCAGAATGGTGCCATGCTGCTCGTAATTACACTGTGAATGTGAGGTTTATGCCCAACCTTTTTTGATAAATTGCTGGCAACTGTCAAACATGAACAGATTCAGTTGGCAGGAGAAAAAGCCAGTCATGTCCACTCTTAATCACAAATGGAAACTTACTAATGATATCATGATTGCCTCCCACAACATATTTGTATTTATGCCCAAGAGAAACATGTATCTCTTTACTGTTATATGACCTCTAGCAATTTAATACATCTAGAACTATTGCTGATTCAAAACTCCAGCTTCCTCCAAATCACAGCTGCACTGATATTCTTTATTTTGCATTTTAATAACTAACACTGAGGTGGCCATTTACATTTTAAGAACATCGATGGCAAATTATCATTATAAATATTATTATCAGTATTAATCAATAGCAATTATAGATTCTAAAATATAGATAATTGTAATATAATGTAATAATAATAATAATAACAACCCACATAAGTGGTTCAGTGAGATTCCTAAATCATATTGCTTGGTTGAGGCTATTTTTTTATTTATGTTTTTTTTAATCAAATTCTATATTTTGGAATGGAAAATGACAATCATAAAAAAAATCAGCCTATTAAAATTTTAATAAAATTAATTTAATTTTAAAAAAAGGGAGCATCCCTCACTTTTTTTTGCCAATCAGAAAACTAGCCAATAATAAAGGTTTTCTGTCTGTGAATCATTTTGAATGTTCAAGTTTGCTGAAATTTCTTTAGAGGAGGGATTTTAAAGGAGGATGTGTGGTTGAAGGTACAGCAAACTGGCTAAAATCACTTACAACACCTTTACGCATGCTTGTATATACTGTATAACATCTCCAAACGTCTCCAAGTGATTTTCAAAAGGTCAGTTGCATACCATGACACCGCTGAACAGCAGCAGTGCTATAAATTATTAGAGAATCACAGTTACACCAACACTTCTGCGTTGCAGTTTACAAAATACAATCAGCAGACTAACAGCTTCGAGTAGTAAGCTCACAATCAGAAAAGAAAGCACGCAGCACTCCGGATAAGTGAAAGAGAGGTTTTTCACAGCTGCGTAGTGCCATTGTCAAAACAAGCTGAGCGGACCTCTGCCAGCGATGAATAGCTGTAATTGAGAAAGCATGTAATGAGGCCACGGACTCTGCTCTCGGCATCATAGAGAGATAGAATTGGCAAACTGTACATCTCTGAAAATGTTATTTTTTTCAACAATCATTGGCTCATTGGATGGGAGATATCATAGAAGATGTAAAGCAAGAATTTCAGCATGTGCAATTTAACTGTATTTAAACTAACATTATCAGCTATGATTGTAAATTTATTTTTTATGGCAACAACCCGATCTCATGAGAAAACGTTACTATTTTAAGTGTTGGCAAATTAGTGGCAAATCCAACTGAATTTGGGTCGAAATTCAAAAATGTACGATTAAAAAAAAAAAAAAAATGGATGGCCTGAGGGTGAGTAAATTAACAGCAAATCCTTTAACTCAGTCTTAACTTAGCGGCTAAGTTTATGCAACTGGCCCCTGAAATAATCTTGCCTTGTCTTAAAAAAGCCCCCCCTATGTCATGGAATAGTCACTGTATGTATGAATGTCATTTTTCATGTATTTTTTAATACAGTAGTTTGAGACAAAAAATGAGTGTTATGTCAAAGAAACACACCATGTGGTTTATATGCAGTATTTACATTTATTGTACACCAGTCAGAAATGTTAGAGTAGGACACATACCCATAGAAAGTTTACGTACAATTTATCGACCTTGACGACTGCATGCGATTTCATACTGTACAAAGGCATAATTAGTGCATTTACACAAGTCCATGCTCCAGGTTGGCCATGGGATTGTCACATTAAAGGTAGGGTAGGCAATTTTCAGAGAGGCTAGCAATAGCGAGCTAGCTTTGAAAGCATAAGATCCCACCCTCCCTTCAGAGCGTCTTCAAGGCCACGCCTCCTTCAAAACACATGAATGCATACAGCAGGGAGCAAACAAAAGCGTCTTGAGAGACAGCGTTAAACTACCTCATGTCTGAATTTAAGCACATAACATTATAATAATATTAAACATAAACAACTTAAAGAACACTGACCTGTACTACCTGACTGCTGAAGATTCATTTTGACGTTGATAGTGTTGCCATTGAAACGCATAAATTCGAGTCACAAACCGCTCCGAATATAACGTCACGGCCGGGTTTCCATCTCTTACAAATTACGGTAGTTATGGCGTGAACGTAGCATAAGCTTGTTGTTTTGGTTCATAAGGAACTGTAAAATGGCTGCTATTTTGGTTGTGGTACGCGGTGGCTGATGTCTGTCTAACTCTGCATAGCATGAAACGCACTGATGATGTGATGTCTGCGCGAGCAGGGTGCACGGAGGTATGGAAATACATACGTTGACAGGCAGGTAGGACATCGGACTGAATGCAATGATTGGACGAACATTTTATGGTGCTACACCTTCCACAGACGATACATATACATATAAATATATTTAGACCACTTAAAGGATAATTCCGGTATTTAACACTTTGAGTCTATTTTCTAGTTTGTTTTGGATGAACTAGAGTGGTGGACTTAGACATTTTGACGATGGGTCCTGTCTCGACTTTTTGACTATTTTAGAATCGCCTCTGAGTGCTTCAGAGTGGCTGTCTATGGGCATGCTCAAACATGTCCTTAAAACAACCCTTAACGTTCGTTTTCAAAACTGTGCAACTCACCGAGTGGTTAGTGGTGTTCGTTGATGTTCCAAAACAAGTAGCGTAGCGAAATACAGTTTCTGTCGTGTTTTATTTGCCATTTTTTAAAATCGCATTGATGTCTGCTGGAGGACTCAGTGCTCGTTGATATTACTGCGCTACCGGAAACGGAAAGGGGTCTGTTTACATTTGGTTGTAGTCTTTTCGCTCGGTTCTCCGTCTCTCAGAAGGCTAGCGTGAGCTGAGCAACTGCGGCAAAGTGGTTGTCGCCATCAAGTGGTCGGGAGTGTGCTAACGCTTCAGACTCAAATATCGAGCGGAAGTTTATACGCGGTTGTGAGGTATCTGAAAAAATAGTTCCACTATAGCAAATAACACGGATTGAAAGCATACATTGCGCCGCTATTTTTGTTTTTAATCATCAACGAACACCACTAACCACTCGGTGAGTTGCACAGTTTTGAAAACGAACGTTAAGGGTTGTTTTAAGGACATGTTTGAGCATGCCCATAGACATCCACTCTGAAGCGCTCAGAGGCGATTCTAAAATAGTCAAAAAGTCGAGACAGGGCCCATCGTCAACATTTCTCACCACTCTAGTTCATCCAAAACAAACTAGAAAATAGACTCAAAGTGTTAAATACCGGAATTATCCTTTAACTTAGTGATTGCTATCAGGATGTGAAGAGACTTTCAACCAGCATAACAAAAAAAAATTCTGGAACAAATCACCTACCCTGCCTTTAATGAACACGATTTAAACACTTTAAAGAACAAATAACGCTGCAAACTTTCTGAGCTGGTTTTCCACTGTCACATGACCTTAATGTTGCAGCCTATTAGGCCTAATCTGAACAGGAAAGACAAAGGGACATTGTTCCATAATGTCATATATTGAACCAATTCAATGACTTGGCATCTGTGTGATTAAAACATTAGCAAGGCCATTTATTCAATTAGTCTGGCTAATTAGAAAATGGTGTCATAATAAGTCTGTTCACACCCATTAAGTGACTCCCCTGTGTTTTTCCCTATGTATGCATGTTTACAACTGAATGCAAATTGTGCATTATTAAGTCATTTTTGGAATGTATTGGGGATTTTTGTCCTGCACTAGCAAACATCAATGGCCACTCTTTAACAGTCCACAGTCAGAGCAGTGCAAATGCAATGAATATTTACATTCACGGATATATAAAAGAGTCCGTTAGTATGGAAGCTTGTTTCTGCCATGGAATAACAAAAGATTTAAAATATAATTGTGACTTTTTATCTCACAATTCTGACTCGCAATTTCAAGTTATAAAGTCAGAATTGCAGGATATAAACTCGCAATTCTGAGTTTTTTCTCACAAATTTTGACTTTTTTCCTGCAATTGTGAGTTTATATCTCGCAATTCTGACTTCTTTTCTCATAATTTTGAGATATAAACTTGCAATTGTGTGTAATAAAGTCAGAATTGCGAGACATAAACTTTATAACTCACAATAGCAAATTTCTATCACGCAATTCTGAGAAAAAAGTCAAAATTGCGAGAAAAATATCAGAATTGTGAGATAAAAAGCCGCAATTACCTTTTTCAATTTTTATTCAGTGGAGGAAACAAGCTTCCATATGTTTGATAACGTGAAAGACAACTACAAAAATGTAGATACAAAGCCTCACTTATTAGTGTTTATAATGGCAGAAAGGCAAAAATGCTGTTACATACATTTGCAATTTTTGGTTGTGAGTACAAACATCTAATAGTTCACTTCTTCAACATTAAGACCAGATCGAGGCCCCGAACGTAGCCTCTACTCTTGATGTATGTTCGGGCATGATTAATAGTGAGCAAAGTTACAATTCAATAGGTTTACAAGTATTTACAACTCGACAATCTTACAAGTTACTATGACCACTAGAAATAAACCTACTATAGATTCAGCATCACATTCACTGTACAAACAATATTTATTCCCATGAAATGAGTTAATGTTACTGTTACTTTCATCAGAAGCAGAATTTGGGAAACTTATCAAGGTTTCAATCATTTGAATCAGTAACTAGTAGTCCAACAGATAGGAAGCAGAGAAACATTGGAAAAGGCCAGTCACCTTTTTCACCCAGAAAGAAATGAAATCACCTTCTACCCCCATTCATCCTCAGACAACCCTGAATTTATTCGACCTGACTGTGTCTGGTCTCTATGCTCATTCTCATGCTTTCATTGGTCCTACAAATGTCAGACCAACAGAGCTTCTATGATCCATCCCCCAAAATAAATAAATAAATAAAACATAAAAATATGGCAAAGAGGAGAGGGAGCAAGTAATTGATACCACAGGTTATGTGGGAAATCTGGAGGTTCAGGTGTCGTTCTCGTCCTCATCATCCAGGTAGTAGTTGAGGGTGATAACAGCGCTGATAAATTCCCCCAGCTCCACAAAATCGGCTGTGATGATGTTTACTCCACTTTCCCCGGGTCGCTGAGAGCGGACCCACTGCATCATGCTAGGAAGAGCCCTGAGAGAACACATATATACAGTCTGTTTCAATATAAGGTGATTTGTTTGGTGATAGCTCAGCTTCAAAACATAGTGAACTGCCTTGCTGCCTGCTGCTTACATAGCCTGCTGCCTTTTAAGTAATACTACATTTAGAATGTAGTCAGCAACTCTGTGTGCCATAAAAGTAGTGCTTCTCATGCAAAGTACCAACGCATTCTCATCCCAAAGCGTAATATATTGACTCTTTTGACAAAGCGTCTATATCCAACGCACATGGCACCCTTTAGCGTCATATGAGACGCAGATATATGGCGCCTCCTAGTGGTCTAACCCTAACACTACCCCAGACCTAAACCTACCCAAAACCGAAGCGTGTTATATTGACGCTAAAGGGTGCCATGTGCGTTGGATATAGACGCTTTGTCAAAAGAGTCAATATATTACACATAGGCTTTGTTGTTCGTCTTGAATCGTGATGCAAAACTTTAATAAGCATATACTTTCGGCCTATATACATTTGCGTGTACTGCGTTAGACTAAACTGGGAATGGTCAAAGCACTTGCATATTGTTGTCCAATTGTAAGTCGTCTGCTAAATGATTAAATGTAAATTTGGATAAAATAGTCTTTAATTAGTTTTAAATTACTACTTTAATTAGTTACTTTAACTAGTTTAAATTACTGCGACTACTATTATATTACTATTAAATTACTATTATTTTAACTCGCTAATATTTTTTTCATTATTAAACTATTCTCACAGATACTTTTCAGTACTGAATGAATGTAATAATCAACATTTCTCTCACATCGTCAGCCATCTCACAGTGCATTCTGGGACAGCATTCTCCCTGAAGGATACTTTTTTTGCATTCTCATTGAAAGGATCAAATTTGCCTTCAAATTTGGTCAAAACAAGATATCTTCTTTGGGAGCACATTTCCACCACATAAGGGAAAAATCATGTTTGCTAAATCATAATTATGACATACAAGTCATAATTATGACATAAAAAGTAAAATTTCCAAATTGAAAATAAATGTCACAATTATGACAAACATTCTAACGTATGAGATTCTCAGTCATAGGGGCATAAGTCATAATTATGAGTTAAAGTTGAAATTATGACAGTCATTTGAGTATATCATTTTGACATTTTATCTCATAATTAGGACTCTTTTTGTTGTAATTATGCTATTTTTAAATAAAAATTTCAAAATTTCATTATGTCATAATTATAATTTACCAAAGCCAGATTTTTGGGTAACGCTTTAGATTACAGCCCGGAAAGTACTGTGTAATTAAGAGAAATTTACAGTGTAACTTTCTCTAATTATAGTGTACCTATAAAGTACACTATGTACTTGTATGTAAGTATAAGGGAACAATATGTAAAGATTGGGGAATAAAGGGGTAACAACCAGGATAATTAAAAAAATACTTGCTAAATTGCTCCCAAATGTAAGATTGTTATATCATAATAGTAGAATAAGTACCCTTTAGTTCTATAATACTTACAGTTTAAATAATTTTTAATTCTCTTGGTTGTTACCCCTTTATTCCCCAAACTTAAAATATTGTTCCCTTATACTTATATTGTAAGTACGTTATAGGTACCCTATAATTACAGAAGGTTACGCTGTAAAATCGCTTTAATTACGCAGTACTTTCCGGGCTGTAATCTAAAGCGTTACCGATTTTTGTTTTCTTCTGTGACGGAAATGGGCTTCCATAATAATGAGGAAGCACAAATTGTGTGATTATGATGCTATCTAGAGAGGCAGATCACTAGGTTTTGTAACAAAACTAATATGTATTGTTAGCTACAGTACATGTAGATCTACGAGGGCTATGACTCAGGAGATCTCATGCTCTGCTGTTCACTCCGAGGTGATGCAGGGGCTAGAAGACTATCAGCTAATAAGATGCCATGCTTGTCAGATTGCAGTGTGCTGGCAGAGACCGTATCATTTTACTCTCTGTGCCCCACCTCTCCCCTCATCTATAATTCATTTGCCATCAGCAGAGTTGATGCAAAAAAAATAATGACACAATCTACCAAAATATCACATTGGCTTTGGTCATAAAATGAACATTTATGACCAATGTGCACATTTTCCTGAGAAAATAGAGATTTGAGGCTTAACGTGTTACATGCTGAGATGACACTTCTGAATGAGTCTTCCAGTAACCAGGGTGACTAAGGTTGGTGTCATCTCTGCCCTTTAGTTAATGTTCCAGTTACACTAAGCAGAAATAATGTGCAGCTCCTCACTAAATACCCAGGGGGTTACGCTACGTATGTGGAGCATGAAGGTGGTATCACAGGTATTATTACGGTTCAGAAAAGGTTACACTTTTTTAAATACCATAACTGAATGATGCTTGGTTCCATTAATGGAATCGCTCGAATTCTTCTACTGAGTTTTCTGCACTACTATTCAGTGATGACCCAACACCGCTATTAATTGAAAAACCGTTCAAACCGTTGGAGTCAGTGAGTCCAATCCCAAACTTTTGAACCGTAGCATATAGTGTGAAACATATCAAGATAAGTATAGTCTGATTACTGAATGAACTTTCTTAGCCAGTTCTTTTCAGTGAATCAAAACCATACAGCGTGACTAGTGCAGTTAAAATGATTCCCAAACAAATGAACCAGTTCTTTTTAGTGAATCAAGCACATACAGATTTCAAGTTGTATTTAAAGGGGACCTAATATACCCCTTTTCAAGTTTTTTTGTTTTGTTTTTGGGGTCTACTAGAATAAGTTTTCATGCTTGAATGTTCGAAAATCAAAAAAAGAAATTACATTATTGTAGCACCTCTCTTCCATGTCTGTCAGTAACGCTCTGTTTAGTTCCAGTCTCTATGAAGCTCCTCTTTCTAAAATGCACAACGTGCTCTGATTGGTCGGCTGGACCATTGTGTTGTGATTGGTCAACCGCTTCGAGCTTGTTTTGAAAAGTCAAACCCGTTACCATAACTACAGGTTTTAACACATTATTAACGCAACTCAACCAGGCCTCGGCCCTTTTTTTTACCACATTGTTACCACATTTTTTTGTTTATTTAGTATTGTTATATGGCATATTTTTGGATTGGATCTGTAAATCTAAAGACTACGAAGAGTCATTTAAAGGTCTGGGTAAAAACACCTTATTGTTTCAAACATTTTTTTTAATCTAAATTATTTCATCATCTGGAAAAATATTTTTTTCTAAACAATTATATCTCAAATATACTAAATTAACATTCTTTTAAGAAACTCCTCCTTTTAAAATACTCCTGATGAAGGTCGTGTGACCGAAACGTTGTGTGTGAATTAACATTAATTTTAAATTGCAAGTAACGATAGTGTGCGGGAGTTCCTTATCTGTGAAAACGACTAACTTGTTTGGTCCTATTATCCGACGCACCTATCACCTGCAGGTGTGCGATGGAGTTTGTTCACTAAGAAACTCCTCTTAGAATCATTAAGAGGAATCAAATTATTAAATTCCTTTACAAGTCCAATGCCTAGATATTATGGTTGTGCTTAGCTACATGGCTAATGGCACACTATATATCATTCCTGCTGTCAGGCGAAAAAGAATAACAGAAGATGACAGACGCAGATGCCAATGTATTCAATGCGGGAAGTGGAAAGGCCCCCTCCCAGTCATTAGAATGAGCAGAATATTGGTTCACTCTAGAATTAATGCACTGAATATGTCATTCTGTCATCCAGACCCATTTCGAATTCTGCTTTCTGCCAAGAGTTTCATGTTTCTAACCAAGCCTGACAAATCCTGATCACTGAAGCCCAAGAGACTCGGAGCACCGGCTAATAACTGTAATGAGATTAAATTGGGACTGTAAAAAATGTGCCTAGTGTTGATTTGAAGATAACGGAGAGCAAGATCTAATGAGTCAACACATTCTTTGATGCCACACATTTCACAGAATGGATGTTGTAATGGTGTATACTATAGTATCCTACCTCTCTGTGATGGTCTCCCTCAGACCGCTGGTGACACCCTTCATGACGGTGCTTGCTTTGGGAGTGAGAACCACCTGCGACACAAAAAAGGTGCCCTTGCGTCTCCGATCCTTTACTGAGGCTTGAAGGAACTGAATGAGCTTCTCAGGATCTGTGGTATTGGCCCAAGGAGAGGGCATCATCTGACCCGGCCACAGGAAAGGAACCTCCAGAGCCATTGGATTGTGATAGAAGACCAACACTTGAAACTCTTTCTCCCAGAGGTACTTCAGGCTTACCTCTTGAGCAAACACTACCGGACAGAGTCGGTCTCCAAAGATGGTGCGCAACATCTGGACCAGTTTCTCGTGATGGAGGTTCTGTACGCCGTAGAAGTGGTTGAAGTCCAGGAACACGACCTCGCGAGCATGGGAGGCCAGGAAGGTGCTGATCTGCTCCAGGCCTTCACGTACAGTGGCGCTGAACAGGCCGTGTGCAAAGAAGAGCTCGTTGTCGGGGTCTCTGGGTTTGGTGGATATGCGGAGGTCAAAGAAGCGGATGCCTGCCTCCAGCTGGCTGGTGAAGTTCATGGTCTGTGTCGCCAACCACTTCCTCATCAGCTTCTTGGCCACAGTGCCAAACACAGAGACAAAGTTCTGCACTGTATCCGGCTGCTCCGGTCCAACTGGTGAGGCTTCGTCGATGTAAAAACTAAAAGAGTCGTGGGAACCTGGATGAGAAGATTTCTGAGTTAGTGATATTCATTAAGAGAGAACATACATATGACGATGACAACTGAGTGATACAATTTTCTGGCTCATATATCTTGTTGATGATTTGAATACGTTCGAATACAATACCGAATATGATTCGGCCGTAGGTATTCACAGCGTGCTGATATATAGCCATATCGCATAACTACAAGTGTGATATTGCATTAATACAACAGTTTGACACGACAAGTGACTAAATAAATAAGAAACAACAACGGATTATTTACTATATTTATTTGCTGTTGTTCTTTTGTTGTTGTAGGCTGCAAAGACCTTTGAAATAACTGAAATTATTTGGCGAAGTGATATGGGACTGTAAGACCAAGACCTGCCTGGAACTACTTTAGCTGTGTGTTTCCCTGAAAATAATTGCACAAATTAGAACGTCCGTCAACCAATCAGATTCAAGCATCCAACAGCCCCGTAGTATAAGGCATAATATTTATGTAAAATAATATTTATTGAACAGTAATATTTAAATTAACAACAATAGCCATTATAAAAGATAATATGAAATAAACACAAGCAAACAATTCAGTCAAACGTACAAACACAGCGATCTAATTCAGGATTTAAGTTAAATATAGCGTAAATATAAAGTTATGAAACTTAATTTTCCCCTGGCCTTAACCCAAATCGATTTGCTCTGGAACAAGTAATAGGTTAATAAGATCAAAGATTGCCTGTTTGATATACCCCAAATTAATTATATCTCATGTTTAACTACTATCTAAAAGCCAGCGGCAAAATTCCGATTGACTAGCCGAGATAAAGCTGTTCTCGGCGGGTACATGAGCACTGAACGGCCACTGACAGACTGGAGCTAACATCTGTGAAAGCGTCTAAACAAATAGTAAAAGAGGCGCTATTTTTATATACGAGTCACATATTTGAGGTCTAAATAACTACATTCTTGCCTAAAAAACTCTTAAAACTACATTCCGTGACACAACAACAGTAGTATTTGTAAAAAATATGGTGGATTTGCTTGACCACGATAGTAGCTGCAAGCGGAGTGATACAAACTGTGAAACGGTTCTAGTGCTGATACTGGGGGAATATCGCACGGCTTTGCCATCACAGGAATAAATTGCATTTTTTTTGTTATTTTAAAATAGAAAACAGTTATTTTACATTTTAAAAATATTTAATAATATCACTGTTTCAACTATATTTTTGATCAATGAAATCTTGTTCACCCCAAACTTTCGATGTTTTGATATTCTGTTAAGTAGCTTAAATAGTTTAAGTTGAACTATATATTGAATATCCTGAAATTAAGAATCAAAGCTGGTGCTTAATTTATTTAGTTAAAATTTTTTATATATACAATAGCATACAACTGTAGATAGCAGCTTTTCATTAACAAAATATTCCGGTTTGCATGCCCCCGAAAAATATTAAAAATATTAAATTTGGCATCTTAATATTATGGAATAGCCCTCTTGTATGGTCTGGTGGACTTCACAGATATGCACAAGACTACGAATACACATCAACTGTGCCATTTGGTACAGGGCCATCTAAAAATGACGAGAACAATGATTTTAAGGTGACTTGTTCTGAAAAAGACTAATTTGTACTTTTGTACAGCAGGAACCTAAGAATACATATAATGGCTGCTGTAATGGTTAAATAGAATAATGTAATAATGTAATAGCCAACACTTGCATCCTGACTGCAGCAGTGCAGCACGAGGGAAAAGCGTTGCCAGGGCCTACAGGATAATAACATGGAGTCCACGAGCACGCTTTCAATTTAAATAGAGCAAAGCCAGGTGCTATGTTTGATCTCAAAAATCAAAACAACTATTAAAATAGATGCATTGCTAATGTAATTAAATGAAAGCATTAAGCAGTCTATAGCCGGTGCATGTGAGAGAGACTCTCTGAATATTATTTTTAATGAATAAACAATGCGTCTCTGCATTTGAAGGCAGCACTGTAGCCATCAAAATTCACCATGGAAAAGGGCCATTAGGCAAGCAGCTGTCTGCTCGGAAAATACATCTCTGCAATCACCACTACAACAAAACCAGTGGAAATGATGGAGGCATTAGATGCTGCTTTAACAAGAAAGAAAGAAAGAAAGAAAGAAAGAAAGAAAGAAAGAAAGAAAGAAAGAAAGAAAGAAAGAAAGAAAGAAAGAAAGAAAGAAAGAAAGAAAGAAAGAAAGAAAGAAAGAAAGAAAGAAAGAAGAATGAGATTTGCTACCATTTCAGTTCAATGACAATCCGTCTCTATTATGACAATAATGTGTCATTTATCTAATGAATGTTCATTAAACAGATTGGCCTGGAATTATACAGACTTTGATTCAGATTAATGAGTAACAGTGAATGTCTCATTTCCCTCCTTGACACAGGTAATGCCATCTGGCTCGTGGAAACTGAGGGAAGTCTCCTCTAACACAATTTCCATGTATGTCTCATTGGATCAGAAACTGTGAAGGATGGTAAGATGTATAAAATATGCAGCACAATATACATTACTATTTTAACATGGTTTTTATTAATTCTCTCCAAACACAACTATGTTATAAAACATCCTCTTTTATTATATTTTTCAAACAGGAGGGTCATCTTTAAATTGAATGAATAGCAACTTGTCTTTTCTCCTTAAGATGTAAATTGTGCAAACCTTAAAGAAAACCACATCTAAAACTCTGTATGGTTCTTTAACAGAAGAAAACAAGGTGAATTTATACAGGTCTTAACAACTTCAGCTCCATAAGGACCCAGTGCATTTATTTAGCTTTTTAATAGCTCTTCAGCTAAATGCAAAGGAGTGTCTCCTTGCTACGAGATCCCTGCTTTGAGATGCACTAAGCTGATATTAGGATAGAAATGATTTCTGGGAAAATGGACCATTTAACAAAATGAAAGTGACTGATTGGTCTCATGTTTCACCTCTGAACTTCAGAGAGGAGGAACATTAGAGCAGATTAAAGACTCTTTTCTGTTTTTGAAACATGCAATCCAGAGATGATAATTGAAACAATAAATCTTGTTGTGTAGAGAGGACACAAACCAGTCTACAGTTGTTACTGTTTGAATATAGTGAATTTTAAATGATAAATAAAAAGCAAATTATATAATCACACAAATACAATTATAAAAAGTATCTAAAAATAATATAAAATATAATTATAAAATATAAAACATTCTACATGAAACAGTTCATTCCTGGTTAATGATTACTCAATAAAATACACAATATGACACAGGACATCTGTTATCAATATCACTGAAGGGCACCAAGATGAAGAAAGTTTTCATCCTAAGCCTTGTTATATTGTCTTTATGTGGATATGGTGAAAGAAGACATGAGTTATTTTCCAATTTGATCTTACAAAATCTCCCTGGATTGACTGCCCTACATCACATATTGCAGCCCAGTGAAATGCTATCATTCTTTAAAAAAAACAAAAAAACACCAGCAGCAGCAAATCTTACCATTGATTCTATTCAAGGGTTTACTGTGAACCTTTAGGCTGCTGATGTAACTACTTATCACAAAAGATTGACATGTCACTGTCAACCACAGTGGACCGCCTCACAGTTCAGCGGGAAATAAAGTCATCATTACAGGGAAAAGTGCCTCTTTGTTTCCAATGGTGACTGTGCTTTCATGTCTGGTCACTTAATCTTTTCCATTTATCTTGTTTATTGAGACATGGCAGGCTAAAAATCCTCTCTTTTGGGTCTAAAGTGCAGGATTAATGGATGAACAATTGGATGGATAGACAGATTTGAAGATGAATCAGGCACAAGTAAACGGTGCCTTCGAGGTTTGAAGCCATTACAACTTTTCATGCCACTAGTGCAACTTTAAATAATTGAAATCATTTTGTATGTGCGTCTGTCAGGAAATAAATAAATAATCCCTACACCTCATCACAGGAAACATTTTGGGTATGCATTTTTGACATCAAAGCAATGCAATGTTCTGCTATGAAGAAAAATGAGAGATAGGACAAAAGAAAAATGGGTAATTAAAATCATTTTCAGAGAACGATTATCTGCAACAAAGATGTGCCTTGAGTTTGATGTTTTTTTGGTCTCCAACTAAGCATGTACAATTAGTCAAAGTGAATCTACTTAAAGAGTTTAGCCATTAACTGCCTATGGATGCTGTTCATGGAGAGGAAAAAGATTGGCATAGCAGACTAGTTTCTAATGGCACATTCCTGCTGCCTCAAGGTCAAATGCTAGACCTGTCAGGAACACTTCTAACATACGACTGCAGTAAGATTACAAAGCCTCTGTGAATCTCATCAACAAAAAGCTGTGGTTAGTGATGTAATCCCTTCTTCCATTCTTCATTAGTGAATAGGAGGGATTACACACATGTATGAAAAATAGGGCAAGATAACTAACGGGGCTCCCACTCCCTTCAAACATTTTTACTGTTCATACAACAACCACAGAAAGTTTTATTTTTAGCTATATATATATTCTAATTTGTAAATATTAAAGTGAGTGGTATATGTACATATATATTAAAGCTGCAGTCCGTAGCATTTTTGGGGTTAAAAATTATCCAAAATACATATTTGAGAAAATACATAACCAGCCAGTGTTCAAAACTATCTGCTTGCCTTAGCTCGATTCAAAGCGGTAAGCTTGTAATAATGTTTTTAATTCCAGTGGTACTTGTGGATTTCCGTGGGAGATTCTAGCATGTCTTTGCGTCATTACGTCACATCTGTACACATAAAGAAGGAGTCTCGGCTAGTATAAGCCGTATAAGCTATATGGATGTGAGGATGTTGGAGGTGGAGATTTATAGCCTTTTCTCACAGCACTTGATATAATTAAACTTATCAATTTGATGGCAGATCCAGAAAGGTTCAAACGACAATCACCAGTGACAACTAGAGATTCACCCGCTGTAAAATGCAAAACACTTCGTTCGGACTTCGGAGTGGCTACAGAAAAAAAGTGACTGCAACCGGA